CACCAGCTAAGAAGTGCTAATTTACTAACCCATTGTGACATAGAAATACCAAAATGTTCCGAGTCTCAAATTAGAACAGTTGCCAGGGTCTTCAGACATATAAAATACTTTCTGTAGGCCGTGATGTCTGACATAAATACACTGCCAGAGTAGGGTCAGCCAACTCAAACCCATAAATAGTAGAATGGTGGCAGAAAATGTTAAAAACAATTACAATACACATGTTCTTTTCCCCTTAGGACAAAAGATTCTCATCACGTTCCTTTTTGCTGTGCCAGATATATTTAACTGATTCATGTTTAGTGGTATGAATACATAAATCAGTTTCTGTTCCTCTTTCTGGACAGTTCATTTTATGTAACACACAGATTCATTTGAACCAAAGTATTCTGCTCACTATAATTTCTTTATCTCCAAATCTTAACTACCACAAATGAGTTTCTGATGGGTGCTCAGTGGGATGTATTTCTAAGCGACAAATTTAGCAAAGGTTTGAAGATGTACTGACTTGCATCTGTCAAGCATACATCATTACTTTGCTTCAAGACACTGAAGCAGATATTTCCACCATGGAAAATTAAGGAAACAGACTGTTTTCTGTTTTAACACTATCATCACAGGGCAGTAAAATCCAAAAGGAGAGAAGTGACATCACCAGGGAATGATTGATCCAATAGGCAATTCACAATAAAGAAGAAGGATCATGCAGCAGGCAAGGCTAAAAAGGGAAGCAGAGGCAGCCTTAAGCACTATCTATAGATAGCCCTGAAGTGGGAAGAAACAGAAGGATCTGGGTTCACAAGAGGTCATGCAGAAATGTTGCCTTCCAGTTCCAGGAGCAGTAGGTTCACACTGGCAGGACTTTATGCCTGAACAACTCCCACAGTCAAAGTCAGCTTAGGTCATGGAGTTTGGGGCTATGCTTTTCCCTGTAGGCAATCGTGCTGTTGCTTTTTACGCACAAAAATTGCTAGCAGAATGCAAATTTCAAAATCTCAAGCATGAGTATTCATGGAAACCAAAGTTTAAACAGATTGGTAACCAAGAGAGACAGTGACCTGATTTCCACCCGTTATAAATAGGACCACGCCTCACTCACAATGATTTTGTGTCAGTGCCTGTGGCTGCTGACAGAACTCTGTAGTTCAGTACATGCAGTGCACTCAGTATATTGGAAGTAGGGTAGAACATAATTTACAAAGTCTCTTCAAGTAGGTCCCTGGCAAGAAGTACTTAAAAGAGGTCAGCTGAGACTTTTGCTTAGCCAATGACATGGCCAGTCTCACTGTTCTGGTCATGATACCTTGGACAAATACTCCACAGCTTGAAAAATAAGAAATTTTAAATTGCCTGAGGGTAGGCATACATCGTACACACTCCTGTGAAGAGGTAAACATAAGAAGCAATTGAGCTTTGTTAATGGTGTTTCTGCTTGCACTAATAAAAACCAGAGTTCTCAGCTGAACTGTTTCTTACTGATGAAAGTGTTTTAGCCTATTCAGAGTTAATATTTATCTTTCTGAGAAATACAATGTTATTCCTTGGAGACATACTTTAATATTTCTGTATTCTTTTCATAAATTACTGCTCCTGGAATGACAATATTTTTCTGAGAGATGCAGAGCTCTAGTGGTTTTTCAAGCCCATCTCCTAAATGAAATTCTGCCAGGCAGAGGAGAAAATCTTCAAATAGCTAGCAGGATCAGTCATGATGGAACAGCTCAATTTGAAGAGAAGATATTCCATTATATAATTTCTCAAAAGAGAATGATCTGTACAAGTCTAAATTAGGGACCAGTAGAATGAAAATACCACGGAGTTGTGGATGACTCAATCCAAACTGGCAAATATTTGGTGGTCTTAGACACATTGCAAATGATTCCCCCCCTTCCTTCTTTCTTCAGCAGAAACTTTTGATTATAAAACACCAAAATGAGCAATAATAGCAATTCTGGATGTCTTTAACAATATCTAATATAGTGAAACTTTACACTAGTGTACCTTTACATTCTCCCAATATGACACACAAACATCCTGTTTCCCTTTCTTGCAAAAGGTAGACTGAAAGGTCTATTTAATGGATCACTACATTTCAGGAAATAAGGTACCATGAACAGGTCCACTGCTCCTCAGCAACAAGCATTATAGGAAATCTTCACAACAAATTCACAGCCAAAATGAGAAACATCCCCACAGGTGTCTGGCAAAACAACAATCCTTAAATCTTATTGCTAAACTACTTAATTCATTTTGTTCTGTGAACAGATGAGTGTTTGGGGAATAAGTTAGAATAAGAAACTGTAGTTGTATTATTAACAAGCAGATTAATCACTTTAATAGCCAGAAACCTAATAAGAGCAAAGAAAAATGATTCGTAACATTTGTCAGAATAATGCTACTGTGAAATAATAAAATGAAAGGAGACAAATTGTCCCAGAGAGCGTTTCAGTCCAGTATTATTTAGTACGTATTGTTAATCAAATTTGGCATATTCATAATTTTCAAGAGGAAAAAGGAAAGAAAACAGGAAAAAGAAACATAGATATACTCTCAAGGCAGCAAAGCCAGGTATTAGAAACATTCTTATCCAAACTTCATGCAATTCCATGACTTATTTTTAGTATTTTTTGCTCTGATACTTCCTCTAAGTAAAATGGCATACATCTTTCATTGACATCATATATGTTCACATCCATGCAGACCTTGTCCTTTTAGCCAGATTTTACTGAACATTATAATTTGTACTACTGATAAATACCAAGGCATTTATAATTTAAAGTATTTAAAACATGCTCTAGCCCACACATTACTGACAAGCTTAAGGCAACTTAAATGTCCAACCAGTCCAGCCTTTTACATAAACTAATGGTTTAGAGAAGTGCTATTTGTGGTCTTCTCAACCATCTAGTTCTCTTCCATTAAAAAAAAAAAAAACAAAAACAGAAAATAAATGAGGTAAAAGAGCTGTAACTCCGGACAGTAAGGGAAGTCTCTGAAAGTATCCTGACTATAATTTTACTTAACAATGGCTTAAAAACAAGAAAAAAAAAGAGGAATACTATTGTTTTCAGAATATGACATACACCCTTAATTCTGGTTGATTTGGATGCTGGCATAAGCAAACACACAAAACACAGATCAATTCTTTCACAAGTACAGCTTTTCTTTACACCATTTAATAATTCAAACAACAGTTAGGAGTAAACACAGATTTTTATCTGCTCAAAAGGAAACTGAACTGAGTTGAATAGGCCTGTAACTTTTCCTACAGGAAAGATATTCAACTTGCAAACATGTTTATAGAGAGCTATTTTTGTTTGTTTTTAGGGAATACCGTGTAATCAGAAATTAAATCCTTCCAGGTGACAAAGATAGTCACTGCATAATCCTGCAAAGAGACTCATGGAGATATTTCTGTACGCAATTTCATTTTAGCAAAAATTCCTCTCTCTGTGTAATATTTGCATCAGAACCTATAATTAGCCAAGTACAGTTGGTGCATTAGGCTACAAAACTATGGAACTTTGCTGTGAATTCTGTGTATTAGCTACATGCACAGCAAGACAGTGCATGTGTTCTTAACAACACAGCAAAGTATAACAGTTTTTTAACAATGATTTATTAATGAATATTGATTAAAGTGGTTTAATTCTGAACCAAGAAAAATTTTTTTTGGCATTTGGTATTCGGTTAAGATGAACAAAGTTTCTTCCTTATTTTAATTAAACATTTTCATCACTGCTGCTAACACAGCTAGATGTAGGAAAGCATCACTACCAGAACTGAACACAGAGTGGTGCTATTTGAACAAAAATAGATTGTATTTGGTCCGTAAAGAGTTTGGGATGTGTTAAACAACTTTTTAGATAATAGCTTTGCTTTAAAATAAAAACAAAAGAGCCAGGTTTCATGTGAATTGCTGTTGAACCCACCTGATGATAACATATAGCCAAGCTGTCCATACCAAAACTGTTTTCTTTTAAGCTTTTTAAGCTGTCCAGCATTGAAACATTACAGCTTGCAAGAAAACCATGACAGTTGTAACGGGATTAAATGTGCTATGCAAGAATTCTCCAAAGATATTTGGCTTAAGATATCTGGAAAGTAAACACATGGCACAGTCACTTAGCTTAACTTGCCGTAGTGGATTTCAAGCTAAAAAAATAACAAACCAAAACCATTTGGAAGCAAAATATCCACTTAATGCATTCTCTCACACTAGAGAGAAGGAAGGAGTCTTTTACAATGAGGGTGGTAAAACACTGGCACAGACTGCCCAGAGAAGTTGTGGATGCCCCATCCCTGGAAACGTTCAAGGTCAGAGCGGGCGGGGCTGTGACTGGACTCGTGGAAGGTGTCCCTGCCCATGGCAGAGGAGGGGTGGAACAAGATGATCTTTAAGGGTCCCTTCCAACCCAAACTATTCTCTGATTCACAGGATTCACCACCAGTGTAGTGATAGTGCACTGAACTCCCGTGTGTTAAGCTGATGCACCTCCTTGACGGAGTGTAAAAGGCTATTCGTCCCAGCTCGGCTGACCTGAGATATTTAACACTCCGGCCTCTTCTGGGGAGTAGTAAATGGTGGGAGAAGAGGAAACAGCCTCAGGTCGCGCCTGGTGAGGTTCAGACTGGATATCAGGCAACATTTATCCACCCAAAGGGCTGGCAAGCGCTGGCACAGGATGCCCAGGGCAGCGGTGGGGTCACCACGCCTGGAGGCGTTTAAACGACGTGCAGATGTGGCGCTTGCGAACGTGGTTTAGTGGAAACCCGTCACTGTAAGATACACGGCTGGACTGGGTGACCCGAAAGGTGCTTTCCCATCCCGAGGATCCCACGATCCCCACCTCGGGATTCCCGCACTGCCCCGCCCTCCGCCCCGCCCCTTCTTCAGCCACGCCCCTTATTTAACCACGCCCCTTTGCAGCCCCGCCCCCACCGCTCCCTCAGCCAATCGCCGTGCAGCGCGGTCGCCATGGCGACGCGGGACGCGCGGGGCCGGGCCCGCCATGGCGGCCTACGGGCGGGGGGTGCGCGTCGGGAACTGGCTGGAGGATCTGCACGAGCAGGAGGTGCCGGAGAAAACCCTCCCTAAACCCCCCTCTGCCTCTCCACCGCACGCTGTTACCCCCCTAACGCCTTAAAATTCGGTCTAAACACCGAGATTCTGGGTGCTGAATAACGCTGCCTGCCTGTCTTTCCTTCGCCAACAGGAGCTCCTGAGGGACTTTATCAGCAGGAGGGAGAAAGGACAGCTTTTAATGCAGAGGTTAGCCAGACTTCAAGAGAATATCTTGAAGAAGGTAATTTTTAAAGAAGGTTATGTCCCATGACATACAGAGAGGCATAGCTGTTATTATTGTACATATTGTTACACGTTCAATAACAATTGGCATATTGTTATTGATTGAACGCGTTAAGAACGCTACAGATTTTATATGCTAAAACACTCCTGATATTAAGTTCAGATGATTCTGTAAAATATTATGTCCGTTTTAATTTTAACTTAGGTAAATCTATCGGTTTCTATTGATGGGCTGGTTCACTTTGGAGACACTGTGATGGTCATGAACCCTGACAGCAACGCCCCGGAGGAGAAGGAGGATGAAGTACGTGGTGACCTGACCTTGGCAGTGGACATGGAGGAAATATCCCTGTATTCCGATGACCCACCACAGGTCTCACGTGGACTGAGCGCAGTCAACAGCGTGAACCCTGTGGGTCGAAATAGTTTCTGTATCGTAAGGTCTGGTGCTTTATTCAGAGTTCTTTTCAGTTATTATTTTAGCTTTAGGTATCTTGTTTTGAGAAATACGCAGCGAGGTTTGCCAATGTACAAGTGAATTATGAGTAAATTTAATTTGTTTAAGGAAGGGTCTTTAACTTCGGTCATGCATTAAGCTTGATTCTGTGCTGCATTTTACTCTGATTAATTCCAAGGACCTTTATATCAGCTTAGGTGTGAAAACAGAATTGAATTCACTGTATCATGTGGTAAATTCTGCAGCTGTTTTTATTATGGTCATATTTCAGCTGCAGAATACAAAACACATCCAAATGTCACTTAGGATTAATATTCACTCTCCTGCAATTAAGGTCTCTGGAGCAGAAATTGCTTTTGCTTTCCATGAAGTGGAAACATTTTCCTGTTGTCCTAAAAAACCCTAAGAAAACAGCATATTTTGTCTCTCAAATATATCTTTAATTGCCATTGTTTGTGGGACAAGAAACAGAAGAACAGGGTCCTGCTCAACAGTCAGGTTCTTTGTTAGGTTAAAATATTTTACCTATTTTAAAAGATAAACTTAATACAAAAGACCTAACTGTAGATTAAAACACCCCCCCCATAATAGTAAAACTGATTATTTCAACGCATATTTTTTAATTTTTACTTTTTCAACAGTGCTGATGGAAGTGCAGTGGGTGAGCCACTTAGGTTTGGGCAAAACTTTCTTCTTGGGACAACAGGAGGGATTTCTGACACAATGGTAAGGCAAAAAAGTTGCAAATGAATATACTGATAGTACACATTGAATCACTCTCTAAATATAGATATATGAAACTGTACAGTGGTTCAACATCTTGGCTTTGCAGAACAGATTCAGAGTCATGCATAGATCAAGATAAGAAATACCTATTTAGAAAGTTTATGCAACTTGCCTCAGGTCTGGTGTGCAGGCCAGGGGGGTTGTCAGCCAGAAGTACTGGATAAAGCATATCTTAAAAAGAAAAAAGGAAATTAAAATTAGCTTGTGAATCATGAAAGAATTCATATGGGAGATTTTTTTTCCCCCCACTTTGAACAACTCCAAAATGAGAAGATTTCATTTCTTGTGAAGATAATCCATAGTAGGTATATGAAGTCATGTGCTATTCTATCATTCTGAGGGAGCAGATTTCTATTAAATGTTAACATTGTATCCCTCTGTAAGTTAAAAGCACATAAGGTGTTACATGTTACGTATGCACTCAAAATATATCACCACAACTTTGGAAATGTTTTCCTTCTCAACAACCACTCTGGTGAGATAAAATATTTGGAACATAAATTCAGTTTTAAATTTGTATTCACTAGCCTGTCTATAGAGTGGCTACTTAATGAGTTTATCAACAGAATAGAATCTGTGCTGTGGTTTTTGTCTGCATAGCTTCAGCTGGGCAGACTGATCTGTCAGGAGCCAAGGGAAAAGCTTTTGAGTTCAAAAATATGTTTTAAAATTACATATCTTGTTTCTTTTATACTGATACTGTCCTAAACACGTGTGTTTATTTACAGTTTTATCTAGGAAGTGACCATAAAACATTCACAGCATTTGCTAAAAAATCTCGCCTTCAGCCGGTGTTTTTGACAGGAGAGGATTCCTATTTGACCTGCTGGCAAGCTGCCTTCCTGGATCCACAGCTGCGTCTTGAATACGAAGGATTTCCAGTTCCTGTAAGAATTTAGAACTGTAGGAAATGTTTCGAGAATTTGATTGAAACAGCAGATGAAGTACTTAGAAAAAATAAGTAGTTTTTTCACATATTCCCTTTTGCCGGTTCTGACCTCTAATTCTAGGAAGTGGTAGAGAGAAGGAACAGTCTCTTTGATTAGGGAATCTGCTTATACAAATATTTGGTTCTGGTGTTCATTTTGACATTGACTTGTTCAGTTTTTCCTATCAGAAATTTTCAAACCTTGACATCATGTGAGGATGCAGTACTTACCTGTTTTTCAGGACTTTGAGGTACTAAAATCCATTTCCAATATTAGGAACTCTGATTAAATAAGAGCTCCTCTACATAAAATTTAAAATTATTAAAAAAAAAAAATCTCAAGGCATCTGCATAAGTGGATGTTTTTCCAAATGTTTCTTTGTTAATACAGTACTTTCTTGTACTAGATAACTGCTAGGCTTCTTGAAGTGCTTGCTGTACAGCAAAATATCACAGATATTCCTCTACAGCCTTGAACTGAGACTGACCTGCATGAATCAGCTCACTAATAAACACAGCCAAAATTATCTATTTGTTAAAAACAGTCCTTATTCACAGTATTGGGGTAAAAATATTTGCCAAGTGTTTTCCCTTGTTCTTTTTTTTTTTTTTTTCCAGGCAAACACTAAAATTATAATTACTCATTGCTATACTAATCGGAACTTAGCCATTCCAAGGAACTTTCGTGTATGGTAAGAATAATTTATAACTGGCAAGGTTGTGCATAATGATGTGCCAGCATCATGAACTAGTGTAAGAAGCAAGACAGGTGTTTTAGGAACACACTGAGGAAATGGGAAAGAATGCAGAATGCCATTCTCCTTTCCCTTATTTTATTTCTGGAATGTAATGTGTGCACGGGCTTGCTGCAGACAATTGCCTCAGACTTACTTGTTTTGCTTCTGTCCATCTGAATCAATCTCTCAACAAATTGAAGTTAATCCAACAATTCCAGTTATTACATATACATTAAATTAATATTGATTAAGCACTGCTAAAGAGTATACTAATGTTTCCATTAAATTCTGAGCAAGACCTGACTAAGGATTTGTATCAGGTATTTGAAGATGAGAAAAGATCTGAAAGTTTGAGGCTGAAACAGTTATTAAGTAGCCAGAGTCTTCCTCAGTCAGAGAGAAATGAGGATGAGGACCTGAACAGTTTGTACATACTGGGTTTTGCTGCCTTATACTGATGGGGCTCCTTTTAGCTCTGAAGCTAGAAAGATGGAATTTCTGTTGGATTTCGAATTCCTAAATTATTCATAGAAAACAGAGTGGGATATCGTGTTTCTTGTAAGAGTCTGATATTTGAAAACGTGGGGATATTGCTGAACAAGACAGGAGAAAAATGAGGAAATCTTGAACAATTAACAAATAATGAAGATTTTCTGAATTTATATATATATATTAATTCACTGTGCCTGTTCCCCCTCCCCCCTTTTTTTTTTTGGCTTTGCAGGTCTTATTTTGGAAAAGAATGTGAAGTTGTTTGTCACAATTACCTGGACTCCCACAAAGTTGAAGAATATAAGAATTACTGGGAAATAATTACAGGAAATCCTGGTCCAGAAGGTGGTACAATGATTGATAGACCTGAAGCTCTACCAGAAGGGTATAAGACAGGATGACTTTCATAAAAAGACAGAGAATATAAAAATGCAAGACTTACATCCAATAGAGGTTGATGAGACTCTGATTCTTGATTTTTTTTTTTTTTTGCTGTTTAGATTTTACTTTTAGAGATGTTTATTTTAAAAGTGGAAGTGAAAGTCTACCATTAGTAATATTGGATGATCTTATTAATTTATCAAGGTTATACAGTGGGAAAAAAACTACTAACATTTGAGGAACCACACATCAAAGATTTGTGAATCAGGAAGTGTTTGTTTTCCCATTTTCCCTTTCACTGATAGCAAAAGATGCCAGAATCCAGGAAATCTAATAGATTTTCATTAAATTACCAATTAAAAAATTTAAGCAATTCATCCAAAACCAAACAAGTGTCACATTTTTTAAAAGAGAGAGCATACTGTTTCCAAAACACTGAAAACCAAACACATACAAAGCTGTCATGGGATTGTTTGACATTTAAAGTTCATCAGAAAGAAAGCTGGTTGTTGAGCTTGTTTCCCACTCTGTCTAGCACAGTTTTGCCAATTCTTAAATCATAAGTAAGATTTCTTTATCTTGAGATTGGCTTCTGATTTATGGATATAAATTGATCTTTCTATGCTTGTCCATGTATTCTAAACACCTAAATATCAAGTAATAAAGAACTTGAGCACAGTGATAGAGACTAGAGACTTCTGACAGCTTTTTCCATACATCACCATGTTCCATTTTCCTCTCACTCACAGCATTTTTCAATCTGTAATAACTGCTAACAAGTTTGAGAGCAAGACAGAATTGTCAAAGAAAATTAGGTGCCCAGAAGTTTAATGAAAATAAATGCCAAAGCAGAAAACAAATAAGAGATGCTGTAAGTTAGTTTATCCAGTAAGAAAAAGATCGTGTATGTTCCTACCTACTTTGACACCAGAGAATTCACATTAAAAAAATTGCCTTAAAAGAGTAAAAATTTCAGCTGAAACTCACATTTTTCTTAAACAACCAAATCAATCAAGCATAAGATGCAAAGACTTGGAAAAGAGAGTTACCTGTCTTTATCTGGAAGTTTAAGCAGCCCCACAGAGAATGTATGACATTCCATTATATCCATTTAGTCAACTCACATGTATACATATTCCATCTCTTACTGTACCACAAGAGCAGGCTCTTTCTGCACAAAGTAAGTGAATACTCAAGTAAAATAAAAATACTATGTAGATCTCCATTCTCACAAGATTCCAAAGATCTTCAATGGTCATATAAAGGTCAAATAAAACTTTTGAAGTTTAACCAAAACAAACCCACTAAACATTCACAAAAGATGGGACTGATCCAAATATATCTTCAAGCTCTATTCCCAAATAATCTGTTTCAAACCCACTGGCAAGGCTTGAAAAGTTCTTGCCTTTATTCAATTTAAATTAAATCAGCAGACTGCAGCATCAGCTCATGAGCACTTGGCATACAGGGTCTCGGAGCAGGAGACATTATGGTGCTGTGACATGCAGGTTTGCTTTGGGGCAGTGCACTGCAGGGGACAGTTTTTGAATGACACTCCTTGTGTGCAAACTTTTACAGATCTAAAATATCTCAAAGTAGCCTTAGAAAATTACTCTTTCACTTTTCATGCAGAGATACGTAACATGACATGTGGCAAATGATGCATGTTTTTCGTAGAGGCCCTTTTAATACTCCAACTTTCAGAGGTTAAAATTCTGCACATTTTCACAACAGATTGACATAAATCTGCTTATATTTTGTAGGCATTAAACTAGTAAAACTGTAACTGCATAAGTGCACTGCAGTGTTTCTAATTTGGCCATTTTAGTGGTATTAGATACAGCTATTTCAGTTCTGGATAAGTCTCTTTCCTCTGGGTGAAATGTAAGAAACAAGAAGAGGCCTTAAACCAAAACCCTTTCTGAAACAAATATTCGTGTGAACTCTTGCAGGAACAAGAACTGTGTGGGCAGAGTGTCTTATCTGTCTAGTGCTATGGGTAGGAGTGTTTGTGTGTGTATTTGTGTGGAAGGAAAGCAATGCAGGCTGTACAAAAACAAGTTTCGTGAAGTCTTAGAGGAAAGATAAAGAGATACAGAGATAAAGAGATACAGAAATGAATACAAAAGCAGGTAATGTAGGGATTAGGTGCTGATTAAAACTGGCTTGGAGACTCTCATGTGTGTTTTGATCGGTCTGTGTTCATTGGAAAGGACTTTCTGAGCTGTAGGAAAATAAACAGGATTGAATCCATAATTCCTGATTCCACTCGTAGTGTTAAACCCATAGATTTGTGCATAGCTTCTTGTATCATATAATACATATTTATAACTCATGATTCATCCATAAGGAATACAGATACTGTCTGTTTCCCAATTTTTCTTTTAAAAATTGGTTTTTACACTTCTTAATGTTGTCCACACGATGGCAGCATGTTTTTCTAAACAGCACAATTACTGCTACATATGTAAAACGACCTGAAATGTGTAAATCAAAATTAATCCCTGATACAAAGCCACAGAAGCTAACCAAGTTGAAACAAGCTTGAATTCTGGGCTAGGAGATGTCATTAATGTTATATCATGTTTTTGGAAAATGAAATTAAGCAATAATGGTAGGCAAAGCCCTGCAGAACATCATGTATTACATACAATCAACTTCTTTTAACTAATTGGAACATTAAGTAATTTGTAACCAAAACATACTTAGAGGAAATTCTCTTTAGGAGCTTTTTCTTTCCCTTTCAATGTAAAGATATGAAACCTGATGCGTGACAAGCAGTGCATATGCTTATACATATTTGGAGTATTGGTTACTCCAATTTACAAAAATTAAGCTTGTGCGCATTTTCACAACAGATTGACATAACTCTGCTTTGATTTTGTAGGTTTTAAACTAGGAAAAAATCAGGCTGTGTAGAATGCACTGAAGTTATTCCAATTTGCCCCTTGTGGACATTTATTGATAAACATGGGATTTAATGTAAAGAATTATGGGATTGAATATTAGTACAGAATCTGAACAATCCTGCAATTGCAAGTTAAAGACACAGTATGTCTGGTGGATTGGGCAATGGAGACCTGAACCATACTCCAGACCTGACATTTGGGCAGCTTTTTCCTATCCTAATAGTGCATATCATGAAATATGGACAGTGGGGCTTGCCTCGTTTGCAATGCACTTTGCTTTTCATCAGTATATGGCACAGTCATGTATTAAGAAAGCTTTTAATGCCTCTTCCAAATTAGACCTAATATGGATAGCTCCACAAAGTACCTTGTGGGAAGATAAAACACACTTTGCCTCCGTTCCAGGCAGCTCAAAAGCTGTTAGCATGAAGCTGGTCCTGAGCTTTTAGTCCTTGCTGAGGGACAGGGTGCATTAGTTCAGATTGAGTGCTGTGTAAATATAGGTTTTCACAGGCCTGAGGCGCAGAGAGCACTCACATCTGCACGTGTTTTGCTGTGCAGATGTGTGTTAGCTGCACAACAGTGAACTAGGGAAGAATCAGCAAAGTCAATTAGCTAACTCACACATTGGTAACACCGGAAAACGAGAACCCAGTCTTAAATCTGTCTTTTCACTTCCCTTTCTCTTGCATTCTTCCCCAACTCATGTTTCACATCACATCACTTCTCCTCTGCCATGTTGTCTAGCCCAAACTTACTGATTTACTGTGGTTATAAAGTGCTCTTCTACCACTCAGCACAAATCTCTGGCCTCACACCTAATCACATCAGTATCTTCACAGGCTGCTTTTCTTTGCAGTGATTGCCATGAAGTATTGTTTTAGCTCAGACAGCTGATAGAGGAGGAAGCCAAATGCAGGTTTAGTGACTGGATAAAAGTTCTGAGAAAAAAAAAAAGGCACAAAAAGCAGAGAGAACATTACAATAATATTCCACACAGTAGTGGAAGAAAATGTCCGAGGACTGGAAAGTTTGGTGGAATTGGCAGGTAAATAGGTGATTTTGATAACATCTGTGCCCACTCACTCTAAATTAATATTGCATGTCTGTTGTAATTTGAGTGAGGTGGGTGTGAAATGATCTTTTAAAATCATAGCTGTTTCTTTAGAAACACAAGACTTTCATGTATGAAAACTAAACTGAGTGGGACACAAAATAAGAAAGACACAGATGTGAAATGCAAAATACGTTAAATATAAGTGGCAATTATGAAATCTCGTAAGTCAGTTTGTTAGCTATACTTCCCTTCTAATTCTGTTCTGGTTTAGGCTTTGTCCCAGGTTTTGCCTCCATTCTCTGCCTGACCTGCCTTATTTCCTTGCCCGTGTACAGCACTGAGAGGGGCAAGCCTTGGTTTGCCAGCTCCCCCCCTCATGCTGCTCTGACTTCATCCTGGAGGCTGTAAAAGGGAATCTAATCCTCAACATTTGATTCTGCCAGCTAAGAGGAGGAGTGGGAAGATCTGTCACCTTGTTGAATGTGTGCTATTCCAGCAGAGATATGAGCAGTTGTAAGAATATCAGCTACAGGATTTGCATGGTAAGTTAGCATTACTTAAAAAAATGTTGACAATGTGGCATAAAGACCAAGTGAGACCCCTCAGTTTTGTGGGGTTTTTTGAGTTTTCTTTGGTCAACACTGTGTACAGAGGGTATTTCATGTAACAGTTAACACTTTTCTTATTCTTTTTCACTGCTGGGCTTGTAGAAAGCAACATCTTTCACTCAACAGAAGAGAATCATCAGTGCTGAAAAGCATTGCTACAGAGGTATTTTCTCTTGAGAAGTTTCTATATTTTTTGGCAAGGAGGGCTCAAATTACAGTAGAATAGGCACAAACATTTAAAAATGCCTGATGACATTAATACCCACATTCAAGGATGAAATTAATTCATACACATGCATCTCTGCTGTATGTTTATAATAGGAGCTTGGAGAGTAAGTTTCCCAACATCTGGTAAATGCTGCTTCATACAGTACGTCAAAACAAAACTAAACAGACCATCCAGTTAGAGGCCATCTAAAATATATGTTTCTATAACGCTGCTCTTGTTTTAATTATAAGCTACTTGGGGCAAAGACCATATCTCCATCCTTTTTTATTTTTTCCCCAAACACAAAGAACTACAGCAGAGAAGCTCAGTAAGTAATAGCATAAAGCTGTTAGTAAAAGTGGTTGTAAGATGACAAGAAACTGAAGTAAACCCAGTGCAAATAACCAGAGATATGGGCATGTGAAATCTACACATAAACCAGTGCCAAATAGTAAACTCTTGGTGTGGGATATGAAGATTCAGCTGCCCAAGTAATTCTGACGTTAATAGGAGTTGCTAGGAGAAGAGCCCACAAACCACAGTGCTGTTCCTGTGGGTCTGACAAACCCACAAAGGGGAATAAGAATTATCCATGGCAGTATTTATTTTTATACGTGTATTTAGTGATTTAATTATATGGCATACTAGTTAAAAATACCAACCAGCTCTTAGCACAAGTTCCATTTGGAAAAGTGACACCAGTCCCGAGAAATGGAAGTGCTGTTTCTGCAGCCTGTTCACATTAAAACTGTTAGGAATTAGTTTGTATCCACCTCTGGAGATCTTAGTCTAAGAAAATAATTTTCAAAAATGCTATTTAGCTGTTTCTGAAAACTTTACCTGTACAATTTATAAAGACAATAAATGCCTTAGCAAAATGAAAGCAAGAAACTATTGAATAAGCAAAGCACTGAAGATTTTATTACTTTTTCTTTATAGACCAAATCTCTTTAAACTCCTAAAATGCTAATTAGCATGGATTATTGTTATAGGGTCTCTAAAAGATTAAACACAGCAGTTTATGAAATCCATCAGACAGCAATTTCTGTTCTTCCTCCCTAGTTTCCTACCACTCCTCTTGCTTGGGCTCTCTGCCTCTTCTACATCCTGGAGAAACAACGGAGCAGTTGTTTGGGGAAAAGTTTAGGGTTCATCAGCTTTTCCGGTCTTTTTTTCTGACAATTTTGGCAGCATCAGTTTAGCCAGAACACCCAAGATGTATTATAGTCTCACAAATAACCAGTGAATTT